GTGATAGATTTTGCGTTGATTTAATAGTCTGACCACTGAAAACGTTGACATTATTATTATTCCTCTTTTGCATTTCAAGTGGGACACAGGGCTTTGCCGGAACACCTCCATTCTACTTGGTCATCTGGCATTACTTCCAACTAGCTCCACGATTGCCTACAAGCTTCTATCTCCTCCCCTTCGCATAATCTTTTCAACTCATCGCTTCCCATTCGGCTTCCACCCGATACCCTGTTTTGCGATATCATTCAATGGTCTCCTGAATGCATGTCTAGTCCATTTTCATTTCCTTTGGTTACTTTTTAGATTGGCAGGTTCTTGGCTAGTCCTATGACAGAGACCCTAGTTACCTATTCTTTCCAGCTGGCCATCTGATCTTCAGTATACAGCTAAGGCAGCAGTTAGTAAAATATTTCTCCCAGCCTCTTAGAAATACCTTTTGTGACGCTCTAACACTGAATTACTTTATATACATATAGGATGAATAAAACTCAGTCAGTAAACATAAATCTTTACAGTTTTTCAAACATGGAATTTGATTTTTGTTGCTTATTTTTGTTTTAAACGTTTAAACAGACTTTTTCATTTTTAAATTTACGTTACCAAAAGATTATTAATATCATCATTAAATGCAATAATCATGTTTCGATTAAAACCTGATGAAAATAAAATAAATTCAAATCTGATAAAAGCATGTTCAGAATTTGTTATGAAATCGAAACAGTCTAGAGAGTTGGCCTGAATGGAGACCAGATAGAGTCGATGAATATATCTATTTCATATAAAGTTTTGAAAATATCTGTCTTCAATCCGCATGACACTTTATAGTGGTGTGGAATGTATATGAATATCTCGCCAATTCATCAGATTTTATGAAGTCTACTATCTGTCACAATGGCAGTATGCTCACGTTTAAATTAGAAGGTTATGAGTTATTTCGCTCTTACAGTCATACATAAACACTGCATTGCAGTTGTGAGTAAACATGCGAAACAGATTTCCAGAGTTCTCTTTTTCTGTGCTTTTCAACGCCTATGTATATCCAACTCACCTCGTCTCCACCCTCGAGGCGGTGACAAGCATTTGTGCGTCGGTGGCACAGTGGTTAGGACTCTCGCCGACCATGCACATGGTCCGGGTTTCGATCCCCTGCCGGCGCACACCCGATATCTATGGTCGGCCTGAAATTTGGGCTACCGATATCCATGCTGAATATCATACTTGTAGTGAAAAGACGGTGTGGAATCAAGCTGTAATCAAAATTAAAAAAATAAATGTATATTTTATGTGGTTATTTATTTATTTATTCATCCGTGGGATCCCGAATGTAACATAGGTTTCAGACGGGGAAATCTTCAGTTCACCCTATCCTCTGCGGTTTGTTTTATTTCCCTCCATAATCGCCCTTAAGCCTTCATTTCCCCACAACATCATCTCCTGCATGTCACCTATGTTGCCGAGCCTAGTTGGTCACCTCCTGTTTAGTATCTAATCGAAGGCCTGTCTGATGATATAATAAATTGTGCTGGAAGCGTCACTAGAAAATGTTACTGTAGAACACTGAAACTTTGTCGAATAAGCTTTCTGCATAGTGAAATTATATCCTACCACAGTGACCAAGTTCTCCTCTTATATCTAAGATAGTGACCCATTTAGATTTCAGCAAATGATGGTGACTGGTGTTTGTGGTTAGTGGGTTACATACCTCCATCATCCCTTTGTTTTCCGTGTCCACCTGAAGTCCTGTCTTTGCTGCACATCTCTTCTGATAACTTTTAAATTTTCAAGTTTCTACGACATAACACACATACACATCATCTGCGAAATTTAGATCTTCAGGGATACCTATCTTCACGGGATACAATTCATCGTCAAAGCAATAAAACTGTTGTAAGAATAAAACCTTCTGTTCGCAAATGAGAGGACTTTGTCAAAACGCACACTTTCACTTGTGAATGATTATTTTTCCTCCCCGTGAACTTGCAGGATGAAATTAATGATGGCTTAAACAAGACGAAACAAGAATCTGAGTCACAGCAGGATTGCAGTCAGTGATATCTAACAGCTGAGTAACATTCAGACGAATAGTCGTTAAATAGGATTTCTTATATAGTTGGTTTAGTCAATACAGTCTATAAGTTAGCAAAATATATTTTATTGGTTGATGTTAGCTGCTAGCACTGGAATTCCCATCCACTTGCTTTTCATCCCTTTCGAAACTTATCATCTGATAGTACATCCACGCCCGTCCACTGAGTAAGCGATGATGCCTTCACTGAAACTCGAATCTTCTGCATGTACCATTTCAAACGCCATGGTGTTATGGCTACGAGAGCCATGTCTTTTACAAGTTCTTTACTCGACTTGTGTGTTTTGGCTCTCAGCTTCCTTTTTATAAACTTCTGAATGCTAAAAACATACTAAGTCACAATTTTTATGTGATTGTGTTCTATGATCTGAGTTGCGGTTTAATTGTGAGGCAGCTTTCACGGTTCTCTTTCTAGACAACATTACTAGACAGCATACTTTACTAAGAAGTAAGCTTGGTTTTTGAATTCTTCGTGAACGATATAACTATCTTTGATTGGACACTAGGCAGCAACTACTGTCATATGTCCAGTCCTTTGTTTTTTGACCGAGAGTGAATTCCACTAGTCAAGTTTGCAATGTGGCCACCATTTCAAGTGGCTCGATATCACAGTTCATTCTGAATTGTAGTTATTAGATGGTTGTAGACAATCACCAGGAAGCTCTAAATGTAGGCTTCGTGCTTTTCAGGAAGGTGTATTTGCACTCTTGAGTGACTTCATGTTCTTTGCTGTGATTGGTTATTAATTTGTGTGAATATCATTTGTTTCATTAACCTAGAATTTGACCTTTTTCTTGTCATAAGACAAGTTTTATTACCCATAAATATATTCACAATTAAATAAATCCCGTTGTGAAATTAGGCAGAAAATATTCAACGGTGAGATTCTTCTGAACGAATTTATTATTATTTATCAAACTGTATAACCGTATACATATTATCCTTTTTAGAGAAACTTGAAATTATTCGATGTGAATGCTTCTCATAATAGCAATAATAATAATCAATAATGTGAAACGCGATTGAATTTTTACGATTCTAATCATAGTTTGCGAAACTCAGCGAGGCGTTTGAAGTGAATGAAGACAGGAGTAAGACAAGCTGGCTACCTATTATCATGCACAATGATATTCCTAATCGTGGTGGACTGGATTATGCAGAAGACTGTGCATTGGAGTCAGAAGAAAGGAATTCGTTGCACTGACCGATAAGAAGACTCGAGAAGATCTGGATTTCGCCCATGGATGATATATGTCGAATGTCACACAAAAGCTCATTGTCTTACAGCGGAAAACCAACAAACTGACTGAAGAGGCAGGCAGCGAAGACACGACCCCAAGTGAACATAGAGAAGACGGAGATGATAAAGACAAGAACAACAGAAACAACAACCAGCACCAACTGCCATCAACAGGAGAAACTTGAAAGAGGTCACTTCACCAACTTATCTAGAAAGCATAGTTTCGATCATAGCCAGCGGAACGGATGAAGATGTCAAAGCCAGCCAGTCAGTCAACCAGAATCGGAAAGGCAACATACACCTGCACAAGTCTGAAATCATTTTGCAAATCTTCTGCAATCACTCAGAATAAACGGCAAGATTCGGATTTTCAACACCAATTTCATGTCAGTCAGTTCTTCCATGTGTCTCAGAAACTTGGCCAGCGCGTCACGAAAAGTATTTCCAACGGGATACTACAGTCTTTTATCAACAGCTCTCTTCTATGACTGCATGCTGATGATCAGATGGCCAGCCAGAAAGAGTTAGCAACAAGTAACTCTGGCTGACTGGGAACAAACCAACGAAGAGCGGATTGCTCAACAAATATATCTCAGAAAATGGGGGTGGACTAGGAATACATTGAGGAAATCGTCGAATGACATAGCGCCTGATGCAGGCTATCGCTCGAGTGGGATTCGAATGGGAAGTGACGAGTGGGTCGTTGATGCGAATATGATATAGAGGAGATCGTGTGAGGAGTAGTAGGAGGAGACTAGAGTTTATGGACAGTCGTGAACCCAGGTAAAGAGGACAGGAGAAAATAGAACAAAGTAGACATGTGTTGTTGAAGCCCTATGTTCCACTCGGAACCCAAGGGAATAATAAAAATAATAGTAATGACAGTTCAGTAACAAGCAACAATAAAATAGGTTGTGTGACACACAAATTAGTTCACAGAGTTTACAGATCTTGTAAAGGGTTGTAAAATTAACAGGATTAGAAAGCAATGAAAACATGATGAAAAACGGCGAGAACTTTGATAAGAAAGAATTAAACATTGCGAAATATACATGTACTGAATTCAAATAATAAATAGGGATAAGTGAAATTAGACCAAAAGCTGTTCAGAGTGAAAGACAATACTGATATAAGTATAAAACTTGGGCACTGTGGTAGAGTGTAACTCCATTATGGATAAGATTTTATTTTAATAAATCACACAGTGTTACACAGTAATATTAACTGATGACGTTTCGAGCACAAATTATTGCTCATAATCATATCAAGTTACTCACACAACTTTTTCCTTCATTTATATATATATATATATGTATGGAATTGCCAATACTACTACTAATAATAATAGTTGTAATAATAAAAGAAAGGTACATAGATTAAATAAACAAACAAAAAATAAATAAGTGTTCATTCCACTCCGACTAAGGTAGAAACAGGCATTGTACATTTAGACATTTTTTAGACACAAAAGTTTGTCTTGAATTCATGAATGGCCGAGGCGTTCACTGTCTTTAGAAATTTTCAATTCTTATTGTCTGTTGTTATGTGGAGATTGATTTTAGTAGCTACCAGTTCTCTGAATGGATTTATTAGCCAAAAAAATATTTTTTTTCATTGTTCTTATTGTTCTAATTTTCTAAAGTTTGATTTGATTTCACTTAATCTTTTTAGAGTTTGAAAATTGGTACCAACAGTGTTTTAATGAGTCAGTCAATCAATGCGATCTTGAGGTGGGTATTCCAACGAGAACAGATGCATCGCATGCAAACACTATAACAAATAACAATAGTAGCAATATGAAGAAGGCATTAATAGATGTCAGCTACAATGAAAAAGAGAAACCATGCATCAGTACACAAAACTCTGAAAAAGATTATCTAGATGAATTCCAGCAAATTCAAGAGAACAATTTATCAGGTCGTAAAGGATTGTTATCGTATGAACGCGCTAAGGAGACGGTTGCTTACAAAGTAAGTTGAATATATATATATATATATATATTATATGCATGTTAACTCCCAGCTACACTGTACTAAGATTAACAGCTTTCTACCAGGAGTTAACAAATGGTCTTCGTCTAATGGCTTTAAACTAAATCCTTCCAAATGTCAGGCTCTTAATTTCAGTTTCCGGCATAAAAGAAAGTTAGACGAAGCTGGTAGTTTCCATAATCGTTGTAAAATAGATTATACTGATATAGAAACCAAGTACGACGTTAAGTATCTTGGACTTATTCTTTCTTCTGACCTATCCTGGTCTATCCACATCTTAGTGATTTCTAGAAAAATATTCCGTCTGACTTTTTACATTAAGAAGTTATGGCACTCGGGCATAACTCAACCCCTCCTCTTCTTATAGTTTGTTAACTCTTGCATCTTACCTATTCTTCTTTATTGTTCACCCTTATTCTTTCCTTGGTCGCTTAAATAAATATCATATTTTGCTCTGTAGAACTCTGAAGGCTGTCAGTAGGGCGAGTGGTATCCCATTGGGTCGTATCTTTGACATCGTCATTGATAGGCACTTGATTTCATGCAACAAATCTCCTAAAAGGATTTCGTCCACTTTACTCATAGCTTTCATCCCGTTTCTCCTCAGGTAAAACAAAAAGTCATTTCAAAAGACTTTAGGAGCGCACGTGTAAGTATAAAAATTCCACGATACCAAATTTGGTACGTATTTTATGTGATGAAAATAGTGTCAGGTATGAACTGGCTAACCTTCTTCCCACCCCTATAACAGGTTTTATTGTTATTATCCTGCTTATATTTTTAGTCCTTTTATAAACACCATTTAAGCTCTGTAATAAGTGTTATTATTTTTTTTCGTTCCTCCGCCGCACCATGCTCTGTCAGGAGAACACTAGACTCAATACTCTGTAACATGCTAAGACTCCCATACTGTGTCTATAATATTGTTTGAAACACACCTCATGTTATTGTTATTACTATTATCATAATTATTATTTTCATTTTATACTTTGCACATTTTGGCATTATTCCTACAGTAAATATGGAAAATATCCTGTGGTTAATTTTATGTATGTTTTGAGTAAATCCGATTTAAATATTGTGACAAATGCTGAAAATTACATGCTATAATCTAAGCAAGACTTTTGGAATAAAGCATTATATATATATATATATTCATTGTTATCCCTTTAGGTTCCGAGTGGAATACGGGTCAAGGGTTTATAAAAAGCAGTCATACATACATACACTTTTCTCTTTCCCTTTACAACCCCTCTTCCACCTATATTTACAACTTGGCTATGAGGTCAACTGTAACTATTTATTCATCTTTGCCTACCCAACTCAGTTACAAAATTTTTCATTATTGCTTTATTCAAATTTATTAATAGGAAGAATTGTATGCAATACAAACATTAAATCAACAACACTGAAAATTATTATTATTATTACTGGTAGAATTCAGTCTGCACCGAAGATAGGACTAGACACAGGACACTAGTTACTGACTAGTGTGCAATCAAAAAAAAAATATCCAATACAGTCCTACAGGAGGTCAGTCGCGAGCCTGAATAGCTCAGTGGTAAGATTTGTGACTGTAGCACTGGGTGACGCGGGTTCGAATCTCAGAAGGGACATGAGTTCCTTCAAGGTTGCAGATACGCCTTGCTTGTGAGTGCCAACCAGCACGAAACCTAGGTCCAAGGCTTCCTGCCGATTGCCTCCAACCACCTAATACCAACAATTCACAGTGCACCGTAATGGCGAGCCACCTAGCATGGTGGCCACATTGCAAACATGACTGATAGAATTCAGTCTGCACCGAAGATAGGACTAGATACAGGACACTAGTTACTGACTAGTGTGCAATCAAAAAAAAAAATATCCAATACAGTCCTACAGGAGGTCAGTCGCGAGCCTGAATAGCTCAGTGGTAAGGTTTGTGACTGCAGCACTGGGTGACGCGAGTTCGAATCTCAGAAGGGACATCAGTTCCTTCAAGGTTGCAGATACGCCTTGCTGATGAGTGCCAACTAGCACGAAACCTAGGTCCAAGGCTTCCTGCCGATTGCCTCCAACCATCTAATACCAACAATTCACAGTGCACCGTAATGGCGAGCCACCTAGCATGGTGGCCACATTGCAAACATGACTGATAGAATTCAGTCTGCACCGAAGATAGGACTAGACACATTACACTAGTTACTGACTAGTGTGCAATCAAAAAAAAAACTGAAAATTATGTTAAGATAACATTTGCAAAAACCCAAAATTATACTGACTTAAATAAACAAAGGCTAACAAGTTAAATAATTCTGGAAATTGTTCAAAATGAAATTAACAATAACAATCGAAATAATAAGGCAAAGCTATACAAATTGAATAAATTAAACGTACAATAAGTACGGTCAAAGTACGAAATCGGGATTATAACAGTTTAATCGCATAGACGGATTTTGACTGTGATTTTTTAAACACCCTAATGTGAATTTTCCATGACATTATTTGTCTTATCATCGGATACTGAACGATGATTGGAACCACAAACTCTTTTAATAACTCCACTGATTATCTCTGTGGGACATTATATGTATATATATATATATATATGCGGCAGAAATGAGTAGATAAATTCAATGTGTAAGTGTGATAATCACGAAGGGACAACAGTCCGAGAATCATCGGGTCATTCCAACCCAGAAGGTCGAACATACAATGGACTAACCTCGTGGTCTGAAAGTTCTGAGTGACGTTAAGGCTGTGCATTGCTGAAAAGTCTTAAGAAAACGAGGATGAAACCGTTGTCCAGTGTTATCCCTGGCGATTTCCAGTGACTCTGTCTCTCTAACTGTTGACAGTTCCGGGAGAAGATTCTATTTGAAATTAATCGAAGTCTTTAAGTTTGGGAGGATTTCATAGGTTTCAAGATTGATGACGAAATCACTTCACAGTTAGGTGAATCATTGAGAACCACGAGGGAATACTGGACACCTTAGTTTGCTACTATTTAGCAGTATTCACTCATGATCCCACGACCAGGGATTCGACCCAGGAGCTTCAGTCTACGAGGCGTACTTGTTGAGCACTCGCACTTTCGGATGGGATCCAACGGTTCATCAATTCCCGCTTTCTATAAGTCGCATCACAGATTTAGAGAGATAATTCTAAACAACCAGTGCTCGACGCACTACTGTATCTTGTGGGTACGGTAGTAAGCCCAGTAGAGAGCGAAGGTTGAATTTTAAGCCAACAACCTTTGCTCCCAATGAGAAACACCACTGCTGCTGAAACTTAAATGATTAATCTTGAAACACGAAGTTACAATGGGAACGGCAAGAGGTGAAATAAGATATCGCGAAGTTATTACTGCATTTATATTATTATTATTATTTGTGTTGACCGTATTGATAAGTTTCAACCTACACTTTCTTTAAAATTTGTTTTTTTTTCTCATGTCTTTGCATCTTTTTTCTTTTAGCAAATTTATCAAAGAAAAGAACAATCGCATGCTCAGAAATTCTATCGTACATATAAATTCCGATCAATACTACAGCCGACTACAACCAGATTCATCAATGAGTCAATATTAAAACAAGGAAAATATTGTAACGCGATTTTAACCTCTTGACTTATTCTTACTTTTTCGAATTGAACACCCTGAACAAAAACATTTCTAGACAAATTGTGCTGATGTCGATTAATTATGCAGTGTGAAACAACTAGCCCATATTCGAATATTCACTATCGGAAGCATATTGATGTTAAACAGATACTGATGATAACCAACCATACAACAGCTAACGTAAAAATTAGGGAGTGAACGAGTGATTTATATCATTTTGGGTTATATTAACCTCCTGACATCATTATATTGTAATTAGGTTTTTGTAGATTATATTTATACACATATCTTTATATTTTTATATAAAGGCGTCACTATAATTATTGAACAAATTATATTTATATATTTTATTTTTGTTCCTTGAGTTCTGAATAGGACAAACTCTGCCTGGAGTTCCAGTAGCCATGGTGTTGTTTTTTCCTACAGCGTGGGGAGCAAAATCTCCTTCATCTTTTTCATGCCTACTACCTACTAGCTGCTAGTAAACTGCACAAGGTGTTAAGAGCGCGTCGGCTGGAATTGGAGCCGCGTGAGAGGCTGGCGAGAAGTCTACAACAGCTGAAATAACGACACACACTTCTCTCCTAATTACTCCTTGCTAAAGTGATTAGTAGATTCTGTCAAGGGAAGGGGAAATTCTCATGTATCAAGATGAAAAAGGGCAAGCTGATTGCTATCACTACTGCAGCTATTACTATCCACTTGTCCGATTAGGCTGAAGAAGTTAGTGTTGAGGGATTCAAACGATGGACTTATTACCTGTACATCGATTATTGAAGAGACAATGAGCTGCTTTGACGACATTTACTACTGACTGGTAAACTTACTTTGAAACTCTATTTGATCCTCGGTGTAAAGCTTAGTTAGTGCCAATTTCACCATCTATGGGATCATCCATATCAGTACTAACTGCTGAAGCTGTTATGCAAAAACTAGAAACGATAGCTGGACCAATAATTAGGCTAAAATTCTGCATAAGGTATATTGATGACATATTTGTCATAAATACAAGAAATGATATAGCAGACATACACATACAGATTAATCCACAACGTGTTTGAAGAGAGGCAGGAAGAAGAATCAGATAACAAAATTAGTCAAGAGAAGAAATATAGGAAATCTATGAAACACAGGTATGCAGGAAATCAACTCACAGAGATTAAACACTTCAATAAGACAGAATACAAAAGAAACTGTGTATAATAAACATTTATTTATTAGGAAAGTTAAAACGCATCCTTCAGTATTTCATTAACTGTGTGTTTCTGAAAAACGGATTCCCCTAGAAAATTATGATAAAATATCTAGACTCGAATCAAACTGCCAACAGGAAACCAACCTCAGAAACCACTAGGAAATTCATCCCTACTGTGTAAGCGAAGAATACTTCTAAACTAACGACTAGAATGCTAATGCTACTCAGAATAGATACTGCACACAAACCAAATTAATCACTTCATTTAGACCCCGTCGAGACTAAAAGACGCAACAACAAAAGAAGACAACATTAACACAATCTTTTTCTTTTTTGATCTTAGCTTCATTCCACACCGTATTCTTTTGGTACAAGTATGGAATTTTCAGCATGTGATATTGGTAGCCCAATTTTGCAGGGCGACCACTGATATCGGGTATGCGTCGACAGGGGATCAAACCCCGGGCCATGTGCATGGTCGGCGAGAATCGCAACCGCTGTGCCACCGACTCACTACTTAATAAATTATATGAAGAGCGGAAGCATTATACAGGTCATGGTTTAAATACTTCTTCGACTCCGAATTCAAGGAAAAAATTTAGCTGTGAAAAGACACGACATGCATACCTGCTACATATGAACGCATTCAGCCAACTATTGAGGACACCGATTTCATTATGCCAATGTGAAAATTTTAAAGAGTGGAAAAAAACCATCAGGGAATTCCTAGAAGTCTCCAATACAAAAGAAATCGCCATCAAGAGACACGCTATTTCTTTCGATCAAATTAATCCACTGATATAGAATAAGCAAAGTGACAAACCATCCCAGAATTCAAGTCAAGATACCATTGAACCATTCATCGAAAATTAAACACTGTGTGAATAGTATTACACTACTCATCTAAATCAATCAGTAGTACATAGTTTAGTTATCATTAGTTTATTTCGGTAATTCCTTTAACCATAAACTGTCGTATACAGTTGACAAGATCCACCGAAATACAATGACGTCGCCTAATCCTGTTCAATTAGTTCTCTTGCTTGATGATTGCCAATAATCATAACAGTGTACTCCAAATGACTTCCTAACTGCCTTGTTGTTTAAAGAAGAACGTCTGAAAGCTTTCAACCTATCCAAACCCATTGTGACCATGAGTAGGTGAATGCTTTGCCCAGCTTTTGTCTAGATTAGTGGGACGATGCGTCATTCTAGATCTAGCTAAATGCCTATATTCCGATAGAGTCTAATTTAGCCAAATGTGCTAGTTCAAAGCATGCAATTGACCTCACACTCATTGTATGCTTTCTGGTCAATTGTACTTTTTTTTTGTCTCAATTCGATAGGTCTGCTACCTAAAAGGACAAATTTATCTCTGAATTAGTTGTGTCACCCTAACTCTAGTCAGCCCCTTCTACTTAGCTCGCTAGCTAGCTGGCTAGCTAACATAGATTGACACTATATATTTTTTAGTGTCCTAAAGTTAGAACATTGTATGCATGACTCATAGGTTAAGCATATTTCTAACAGCAGTTAATGTATATTTTGTTTTTATATTTCGTCATGCTCTACTCAGTCATAGTAAGATAGAAAGTGGCTGAAAAAGTCAAATCAACATTTAGGTGTATGATATAGGGCCTCGACTTCAATCAATCTACATTCAGAAAATGCGTAGGCGTATAAGCTAAGAAGACTATCAACAGACAGTATAAGCAGACTTAAGAATGAGAAATATTCTCACGTCACATGAATTAATAAAAGGCCGTTATGAAGAGAAGGCATTCTGGTCAGTTATTTCACCCCCACCCCCAACTCCACACCAGGTTCTTACAGTTAGAAAATATGTATTATTTACACCATTGAAATAACAGCCAGTGATTTGATGGACACAATTTTTGGACACAGAAAGGCAGATTACACCTGGGATGAGAAGTTGTATTGTATGACAAAACAAATATCTTGAGCGCATTGACACTACAAAATATTGTAAAGTGCCAGACTAGTTATTATATTATTGTTCCCTTGGGTTCCTAATGGAACATAGGGCTTCAACTGCACGTCTCCACTTGCTTCTGTCTTGTGCTGTACTTTTCACTTGCGTCCATGTTATTCCATACTGTTTCATCTCCTCCTCACACGATCTCCTCCATGTCACCCTTGGACGTCCCACTCGCCGCTTCCCTTTCGGGTTCCACTCGAGGGCTTGACGCGCGATGTCACACAACGGCCTCCTCAGCGAGTGTCCAATCCATCTCCACTTCCTCCTGCATATTTGTTGGGCGATTGGTTCCTGTTTCGTTTGTTCCCATAGCTTCTTGTTTGTGATTCTTTCTGGTCATCTAATCTTCAGTATGGAGCGAAGACAGTTGTTGATAAAGGTCTGCAACCTGTTGAAAATATTCTTGGTGACTCGCCAAGTTTCTGATCCGTAAAGCAAAATTGACTTCACGTTTGTATTGAAAATCCGAATTTTGTTGTTGATGGTGAGTGACGAAGATTTCCAAATTAGTTTCAGGTTGATGAATGTGCTTCTCGCCTTCCCGATTCTCGATTTGACATCCTCGTCCGTTCCTCCTGTGGTTGAGACAATGCTCCCCAGATAAGTGAAAGAAGTAACCTCTTTCAAATCCCTCCCGTTGATGGTGATTGGCACTGGATGTTGCTGCTGTTGTTGTTGTTGGTTGGTTATTTTCATAACCTCCGTCTTGTGTATGTTCACCTGGAGTCCTGTCTTTGCTGCTTCTTCGACCAGTTTGTCGGTTTTCGCTTGTAAGTCTTCGATTTTGTGTGACATCAAACATAAATCATCCACGCGCGAAATCCAGGTCTTCTAGGTTCTTCACGTCGGTCCAGGATATCCCTGTCTTCTTGTTTCCCACTGTCTGACGCATAATCCAGTCCACCACAATTAGGAATATGATTGGTGATAATAAGCACCCTTGTCTGACTCCTGTGTTTACTCCGAACGCTTCACTGAGTTTTCCGTTGTGGATCACTTAACATGTGCCGTTGTCGTACAGCTGTTGAATAAGGTTGGTGAATATTTGGGGTACGCCGTAGTACTCGAGTAGTTTCCAAATTACTTCGCGGTCAACGCTGTCGAAGGCCTTCTCAAAGTCTATAAAGTTGAGGTAGAGATTTGATTGCCATTCCATGCTTTGTTCTGTGATGATGATGCGTAGAGTTGCAATTTGGTCAGAACATGATTTGCCTTTCCTGAATCCGGCTTGTTCTGGTCGGAGTTCTGTATCCAGCGCGTCCTTGATTCTCTCCAGGATGATGCGACTCAGGATTTTACTTGGCGTCGACAGGAGCATGATTCCTCGCCAGTTCTGGCAGAGTCCCAGGTCGCCCTTCTTTGGTAGTTTCACGAGGTAACCTTTCCTCCAGTCAGTAGGCACCTTTCCCTCTTTCCAGATCTTTTGCAATAATGGAGTCAGCATATCTGCCGTCGTTTCTGGGTCCGCTTTCAGTGCTTCCGGGGGTATTCCATCTGGTCCAGCTGCTTTTCCAGCTTTAAGAAGCTTGATTGCATTCATGACTTCAGTTTTCGTTGGAGGATTGGTGTAAACTTGCAGTTGTGTACGTGCTGTTGTTGGTATTACTGGACGGCTTGTAGGTGGTGGTCGATTCAAGAGTCCTTTGAAGTGGTCCGCCCATTGTTTAATCTGTCTTTCTTCTTTGGTAATTGGCTTCCCTTGGCTGTCCTTTATAGGTTTCACTTGTGTTGATCTCTTCCCACATAGAGACTTGGTTATCTGATATAGTGTCCTCAGGTCCCTTTTGCCTGCTGCCTTCTCAGCTTCAGTAGCCAGGTTGTCGTAGACTTGTCTTTTGTCCTTCCTGGCACTCTTCTTCACTTCTTTGTCCAGTGCTGTGTAAGTTGAGTTCAGCGTCTCTTTCTCTTGTCCATCTTTGCATTGAATCATTTTTTCTTTCACCTTTCTCCTCTCCTCTATTAGTTTCCAAGTGTCTGTTGAGGGCCATTCCTTGTCTTGTTTCTTCTTTCTTCCTAAAACCGTTGAGCACGTTTCGTTGAAAATTACCTTCAGAGAGTTCCAATGGTCTTCCACGGATGATTCCTCAG